CCCATATGGACCAGGCTCCAGAGGAGTGGCAAAGCCCAAGTATGAGTGTTCATGAAAGATTGATCAGTGTGTGTGCAAGGACTAGCAACTGCAGTTTCCTTCTCCCAGAGGCTTACTGCCTGAGGTTATTCTGCTACAGAGATCTCCTACAGAGGTGAGTGATCACCCTCCTGTTGTGCTATACCTAATAAACACACTGAGGTTCTGAGTTACATGAGTTAGAGAACCGACCTGATTCAAGGTTCACTATATGAGTCTGTATGTCTGTTCTTTCTTCATTCCCCCACCAACCCAGCCAGGGTTCTAGGACACAAACCACCGAGGAAGTGCCAGTTGTAATTATACATACTGTTATCATTCATATGTAATGAAAAATTAAATTATAAAAGTTGCAGGTAAATGGATGGAACTGCAAATATTCATCCAAATTGAGATAACTCAGAGCCAGAGAGGCAAATGTTACATGTTTCATTTATTTATTTGTTTGTTTATTTATTTATTTATATTAATTCATTTATTTAGTATCCTGACCACAGTTTCTCCTCCCTCCTCTCTTCACATCCCCTCCCCTCCTATCCACACCCCCTTAATCCAGTCCTCCTCAGTTCAGAAAGGGACAGGTCTCCTGTGGGTATCAACAAAGAGTGGAATATCAAGTTTCAGTAAGACTAAGCACCCCTCTTTGTATTTAGACTGGGCAAGGCAATCCAGTATGAGGAATAGGTTCCTAAGAGTCAGCCAAAGCATTAGGAACAGCACCTGCTCCCATTGTTAGGAGTTCCACAAATAGACCAAGCTACACAGCTGTCACATATATGTAGAGGACTTAGGTTGGTCCCATACAGGCTCTCTGGTTGTTGGTTCAGACTCTGTGAGTTCCTGTGAGTCAGGTTAGTTGTTTCTGTGGTTTCTCTTGTGATGTCCTTGACCCCCTGGCTCCTACAAGCATTCTTCCCTCTCTTTGGCAGGATTCCCCAAACATGGCCTAATGTTTGGCTGTGGGTTTCTGAATCTGTTTGCATCAGTTACTGGATGAAGGCTCTCTGATAACAGTTGGGGTAGTCACCAATCACATCACAAGAGATAGTCAGTTCAGGCTACATATCCACTATTACTAGGAGTCTTAGTTGGGGTCATCTTTGTAGATTCATGGGAGTTTCCCTTGCATCAAATTTCTACATGACCCTCAAAATACCCCCTTTTCTAGCCATCTACTTCAGTACTTTCCCCCTCCACCCACCTCCACCTGATTCCTTCAAGTTCCTATCCTCATCTGACCCCAGTCTTCCCAGGGGATCTCTTATATTTCCCCTTCCCAAGGAGATCCATGTGTCTCCCTACTTGGACCCTCCTTGTTACATAGCTTTTCTGGGTCTGTGTGTTATAGCATGGTTATCCTTTACCTTATAGTTAATATCCACTTATGATTGAGTGCATACCATGTTTGTCTTTCTAGGTTTGGGTTACCTTACTCAGGATGATTTTTTTTCTAGTTCCATCCATTTGCCTGCAAATTTCATAATGCCATAGTTTTTAACAGTTGAGTAATACACAATTGTGTTAATGTACCACATTTTCTTTATCAGTTCTTCAGTTGAGGGTCATCTAGATTATTTCCAGGTTCTAGCTATTACAAATAAAGCTGCTATTAACACATTTGAGCAACTATCCTTGTGGTATGATTGAGCATCCTTTGGGTATATGTCCAAGAGTGATATCACTGGGTCTTGAGGTAGATTTATTCCCAATTTTCTGAGAAACAGCCATATTGATTTCCAAAGTGGCTGTACCAGCAATGGAGGAGTGTTCCCCTTCTTCCACATCCTCTCCAGCATGAGCTGTAATTTGCGTGTGTGTGTGTGTGTGTGTGTGTGTGTGTGTGTGTGTGTGTGTTTGTTTTTTTCAAGACAGGGTTTCTCTGTGTTGTTTTGGTGCCTGTGTTAGATCTTTCTCTTTGACCAGGCTGGCCTTGAACTCACAGATATCTACCTGGCTCTGCCTCCTGAGTGCTGGGATTAAAGGCGTGTGCCACCACTGCCCGGCTCATTTGTGTTTTTGATCTAAAGATCTCCCATGCTCATGAATCAGTAGGATTAACATAGTAAAAATGGTCATTTTACCAAAAGCAATCTAAAGATTCAACACAATCTCCATCAAAATTCCAACACAATTCTTTATAGACCTTGAAAAAACAACAACCAACTTCATTTAGAAAAAAACAAAACAAACAAACAAAAAACTCAGGATACATACAACAATCCTGTACAATAAAAGAACCTCTGGAAGTATCACCATCCTTGATCTCAAGCTCTGCTACAGACTCGTAATAATAAAAACAGCATTGTATTGGCTTAAAAACAGACATACTGATCAATGGAGTCAAATTGAAGATCTGGTCATAAATCCACACACCTATGGACACTTGATTTTTGACAATGAAGCCAAAAATTTTACAATGGAGAAAATAAAGCATCTTCAACAAATGGTGCTGGCATAACTTGATTTTGGCATGTATAAGAATGTAAATAGATCAATTCTATTACCCTGCACAAAACTCAAGTACAAGTGGATCAAAGATCAAATCCAGTTACACTGAACCTGATAGAAAAGAAAGTGGGGAATAGCCTTGACTGCATTGGAACAAGAGACAATTTCCTGAATAGAACACCAATAGCACAGATACTAAGATTGACAATTAATAAATGGGACCTCATGAAACTGAAAAGCTTCTGTAAGGCAACGGACACTTTCAGTAGGACAAAACTACAGCTTACAGAATGGGGAAAGATCTTCATCAATCCCACATCCGACAGAAGGCTGATATCCAAAATATGTAAAGAACTCAAGAAACTAGGCATAAAAAAACAAACAATCCAATTAAAAATGGGGTACAGATCTAAACAAAGAATTCTCAGCAAAAGATTCTCAAATAGTAGAGAAACACTTAAGGAAATGTTCAACATCCTTAGCCATCAGGGAAATGTCAATCAAAACTCTGAGATTCCATCTTACACTTGTCAGAATGGTTATATAATTTAACAATATTTCTTCCCCCCCCCTTTCCTCTTTACAAGCCCTCTCATATAACCCTCCCAGCTCTCTTTCAAATTCACGACTTCCCCATAACAAACTCTCTGTCTCTGTCTCTGTCTCTGTCTCTGTCTCTCTGTGTGTGTGTGTGTGTGTGTGTGTGTGTTTCCTAAATATGCCGTGTTAGGTCCCTATAATGCTACCTGTAGATATGTTTTCTGGACTGACTATTTGGTACTGGACATCCAATTGGTGTGCTCTCCCCTAGAGATTTCTCCCAATCCTAGTTTTGCTTAGTTTTCTATAGTTCTTTGTGTGGGGCTGAGGCCTCGTGGGTTTTTCTGTTTAGTTTGGTATGTTCATTGGTGTCATCCTTGTTCAGCTCATGTTTGGACAATCATGTTGTTGAGAATTTATGGGAGTGGCTTCTGATATTATTAGAAGACACAATTATACAGCAAACTTCCTGATCTTTTGGCTCTTACAATTGTCTGTTTCCCTTTTACACAATGTCCTCTGAGCCTTAGGTGTTTTGTAGATGTATCTGTTGGTACTGGTATCCACACCTTTCCATTTTGATTGGTGATTGTCTATAGTAGTCTCTGTTGCAAAGAGAAGTTTTCTCGATGAGGGGTAAAGATTACACTTATCTGTGGGTAGAGGACAAATGTTTATAGATTGTTGTTAGTGATCATGCTTGTTTAGTAAATTGGTGATTGTAGATTCTCCTCCAATAACCATGACTTCACTCGCACCGAGTAGTTAGTAGGTTTCCAGGACCAGACATAGTCTCCCTTTTGTTGAGAAAATCTTAAGTACAATTAGAGAGCTGTTGGGTACCACCAAAGCATGCATGACACTACTGTACTCTTAGGGTGATTGTGCCATGCTGGTTGTTGATGTGGTTCATAGGTGTCATACGTACGTGGCACTTTTCGTTACCTCTCTCCCTTGGGAGCTTGCAAGATGCTTTCTGGGACCATGTAAGGTAGTCCTTGCAGAGGAAGTGTTCAGGTTAGCTCTAGCTCAGGGGTATTTGGGCCCTGTGTCCAAAGTGCATGGGGTTTTCAGCAATAGGGACTTACATTATTGGTTATGGCCGGGGAATAGCCAAGGTCAACAGCAATAGGTTGTATGTTTTGGAAGTCTCTTGAACAATCCTGGACAACTGAAAAGAGCACTTCTCCTGTCTGGTATTGGGGTTTGTGTTAGGTGGTCTTTGGCTTTTGGGGGAATACTGTCAGCCCAAATTAGGAAAGTTCACCAAAACTATATATGTATATTTATACAAAGTTTTTTTTTTTTAAGTAGATAGTTAATGGTATGATTCCCGTGGCTTTCTCAGACTCCTTATTGTTCTTTTACCCACCTCCCTCCTGTCTTTAGCTCCCTCTCCCTTCCCTAAAGAGCCACCTTTTCCCATTTATTCCCATCAGATCACTTGTATCCTGCTATTCCTCTCTCTGTCATCTCTATTTCTCCCTGGTCCCTCTATCTTGGAAATGGTTCTGTTTTACTTTCCTGCTTTCTTTAGTTACTACAGGCTATGTACTCACATCTGCAGATTTGGAGCTAGGTTCCTCCAATAAGAGAAAACATGTAGTGTTTGTCATCGGTCTTCTCATCTGATCTTCTATAGACTTCTCCGTGCTGGTTTCAGCTATCCACCTCAGACTTCAGGATTATTCCTCCTTACTCTGAGTTCTCTTCAACCAATTTTTAACTGCTCAGTAATGTACACATCTATAAAAGCACACACAAACACACACACACACACACACACACACACACAGTGAAGGGTAATGTCTGATGTGAGAGGTAGTATCAGTTAATAGTAGTGATGAAGAATGGAATCAAAGAACTGTAATTACCATGACTAGCCATTAAATAAAATTATCATTAATCATTAATGGTAAATTGCAGCTAAAGAAACTAACATAGATTATGAATTTATTGTTTTTTTTTTTCAGCAAGTTCTGACATCGTGGAAAGACACAAATATATCCGCCTATAGTTCTGAAATCATTACAGAGGTTTTCAAGCTTTTTACATCTGTCCCATCACCTTGTCATCAGGAGTGAGTATGTGTATGTAAGTGCATGGTGTTGATGTGATACCCAGGACGAGTTTATCCATCAGGTTGACTGAGATGTAGATGATAAATGATCAGCAAGTTTGGAACCTCAAAATGTTTGGTCTGCTTGCTTTGTTTGCATAAAGTCAATGGTTTCAATTCATAATGCAATTTGTATTATCTTAAACATTGGCTTCCTGAGTGTCTTGTTATCAAAATCTGAACACTGACATGAGTGAGATCTAGAATCATGAGCCAAATTAGAAGTGAGGTGTGTGTCCCATGTTGTAAAGTTTTAGGAATAACTAATCATTTTTTTTACAAATGGTTTTGACTATGTTCATCTGTGTAGCCTAAATCACTGAAATCACATTATAACAGAAAAATATTTTATAACAATATTAATGAAAGATAAATTTGAATGAAGCTTTTATATATTTATGAGGCTGTCTTATCTAGAATACACATAATAGAACAATTATCAAATATAATTTAAAGCTGTTTGTAGCCATACATTGATCAGTGACAGGAATATGTTCTGAGAACTGTCATCAGGTTATTTTGGTCACTTTGTCAGTATTATAGAGCAGTATTTAACACTTCATACCTAGCTTAGATGGTGTAACATTTTACTTCTAGACTACATGCCTGTGCAACACATTACTGTTCTGAATACTGCAGGCACTTTTAGCATGTTGAATATTCATGTGCCTAAATATAAATCATAAATTAAGAATGAGTGAGGCATGCAGAACTGGAAGGAACTCTTGATGAGGCAGTGAATGGCGAGTGAGTGTGAAGACTGCAGGTGCTTTGAGAGCACCGTAGACTCAATAACGACCTTCACTTGGCCATTCTAAACTGAAAAACAAAACAAAACTTTCTTTAGTAATAAATTAACCTTAGCTTATTATAACTTCATTAAATTATAAACATTTAAATCATTTTAACTTCTTGTTTTATCATGACATTTAACTGAAAATGGACCAAATACAACTATATTATTTTCTTTCTTTGTACACTTACTCTGTGAGCATTTTCCATGTAATTTACAAATTATTTTAGTTTTGTAATTCTTTTGTTAAAAGTTGTGACATAAGGCTACACAGAGAAAATCTGTCTCAAAAAAGTAAAAAAAAAAAAAAAAAAAAAAAAAGAAAAGTAATAATGTGACAGAAGACCGGCCTGGTAGAACATGCTATAAGCCCAGTACATGGGGAGAGGATTGTGAGTTTGGGGCTAACCTGCATTACATAGTGAGTTTCCATCTAGCCTGGGCTTTGCTATATTACTGTTACAGAAAACCAACCATACAAACAAGCAAACAAAAAGCTGCAAAAAACCAAGACACAACAACAACAGCACCAAAATCATGAATACCCCTGTCATCCACCTCCACATCCTGTCCCACTGGGAGTCATTGAGGACATCAGCATGTGTGGAGCTGTCACTTCCCATGGCTACAGCACCCTCTTCTGGATCCCCCTGAATCTGCTGAGGTTCATCTTGAGGAGCAGTCCCTTTTCAGAATGGTTTATTCCTATTTTCATCATAGATTCCTTTGTAAGCATAAAAGACCCCAAAAACATTTCTCTCTGCTGATGAAAATCTTTCTGCCTTTAGTTGAACATTTTCAAATGTTTTAAGGACCTTCAAAGCCCTCAGTGTGGATTTTTCTTTGGAGTTACTCTTTTTCTTCTTTTCTCTTTTGTTTTCCTTAGCTACAGATCCTTCTGATCTAGTTGTAGCAACCCCTTATCTGTCCAGTTTTCAACACTCTTCCCTGTCATCTGCATTCACACCCAGCACAAAGTTGTTTTCTGTCTCAATCACAGCTTAGTTGATTTTTGCAACCTCCTTATTCTTGGCAAATCCTTTGAAGTCATGGATGAACCTCTTCTTCCAGATGCCACTCATACACTCCTTGCTGACATCACCTCAACCCTAACAAGTTCCTATATGCAGATATGATGGTGTAATCCTTCCATAACTGTGCCAGTGTCTTCCCAGTCCTTTGTAGAAACAGTGTAGGCCAGCGTCCTTACAGGGTTGTGAGTGCAACACCCTAGTGTATTTCCTTCATCTATTAATGGAATTGAAGAACTTGTGTTTGGAGGTAGAAATACAACTTTAATATTATGATGAAGGTTGCTGGTGGAAGGAGCTCCTGTGACAGCATTATCAATAATAAGAAAAATTTTTAAAGTTTCGCTATTCTCCAGATGATACTTTGCCATTGCATTGGCTAGTTACTCAGTAGTGTACCTTGGAAGAGGGATTGGGCCATTCCTGATGTCTTGTTTCTGAGGTGTACTGAGTATGTGCTCAGTGACATGTTTGGAGGGGCTGTATCTTTCACTGTGCTAGATCACAAAGGATGTCTTGTACCCTACAGCATCTCCCTGAAGCTGGACTGTGATCCTTTCCTTAGAAGCCTGGCATTAACTTGCCCTGTTTACAGGTGAAAGTTCAGAATTAGATCAGTTTCACTCATGTTGAAAGTTGTGCTGGTAGGAAGCAAGATTTCTCATCTGCCTTAACATCACCATTTACAGACATCTTTCACTATTTTGGTGAAAATTACACTTTAATTTGTTTTACCAAATTAATGAGTTAATCATTTAAACAGATCTAGAAAATACTTAGCAATCATTGCCTTTTTCAAAAATTTAAAAAATATGTGTATATGATAAACACTTCATGAAAATATTTTTTGTGTTTTTCAAGACAGGGTTTCTCTGTGTAGCTTTGCTCCTTTCCTGGAACTCACTCTGTAGCCCAGGTTGGCCTCAAACTCACAGAGATCAGCCTGGCTCTGCCTCCCAAGTGCTGGGATTAAAGGCGTGTGCCACCACTGCCTGGCTACTTCATGAAAATTTTTTTAACAGCCAAAGCCAACAAAATTATAAGGTCATTGTTAGAACTGCTAAATGCCTTTAAATTGCTGAACTACAGATGAAGATAATTCTTTTCTTCATGTATTCATTCATTTTTTTCATAAGTTAGTGTATGGTACATTCTCTGTCCAGCATCAACAACTTTTTGTGTTTTAAAACATTTTAATATTAAAAGTAATATATCTCATTATGACATCTTCATATGAATGGTCAATATACTTTATTCTCATTTGTTCCCCTGCTACATCATGTGATGAATAGTTTCTTGAACCATTTAAACCTCCTAGACATAGCAGTAAATTAAACATCTTAGTCAGGTCCTGCCTTTTATTTATTTGTTTGTTTGTTTGTTAACACCAGGAACATGTGACTTTGATTCTGATGTCATGGTGCTTAGAAGGATGCACTTTTATATATGATCTTCAACTCAAGTCATTAGAAGGCCTATCTTATCAGTTATTTTTTTCTTTAATTTTAAATCTTTTAAATTAAATAAGGTTTCATTACCTTGTCCTTGTTCTTCAAGGTCATAGGTATGGTGGGAGTGGACATGCCTGACCAGCAGGCAACACCATCACTGGTTATTCTTGTTAGTCTTTTGTGACTTTTAGTTTTGTCTTCAAGACAACTACCTAAAGTGGCCTCCTACTGCTTTTGCAGAGGAAGACATTTCCCAGCACCCACACTGTGACTCGCAATCATCTGTAACTACAATTCCAGCAGATCTGGTGTAATCACAACCGTCTGTGACTACAGCTCCTGCAGATCCAGTGTAATCTCAACCATCTGTAACTACAGTTCAGGCAGATCTGGTGAAATCACAACCATCTGTAACTATGGTTCCAACAGATCCAGTGCCCTCTTCTGATTTTGGCAGGTACCAGTCATGCACTTGGTATACATGTATACATGTAGGCAAAACATTCACACACATAAAATAGATTTTCAAAAAATTGTCTGTAAAAGACTTACAAACTGAATTCACAAATGCATAAAAAAAGACTATACACTCTGAGCAAGTAACCTTTATCTTAAAGATGCAGATATGGTTCACACTTCATAAACTGATAAAAAGAATCCATGATCTCAAAGGCAGAAACTATGTGATCATCTAATTAGATACAGAAAACACCTTTGACAAAATCTAAAATCTTCTCATAAGAAAAGTCCTGAAGAATCTAGGGATGTGGTATAGGTGTAAAAAAATGACTTTTAGAATAGGATTCCATTTGCCTATGAATAAGGTCAACAAATGACAAGTGGGACTTCATAAAACTAAGAAGCTTCTGCACAACTAAAGAAGCAATCAGGTGAAGAGGAAGCCCACAGAAGGGGAGAGAATTCTTTCCATCTATACAACTGACAGAAGATTAATAAAAAGGGAACTCAAAAGAAAAAAAACAGTCAAAAAGAAAAAAGAAAAGAAACGAAAACAACAACAATAATAAAATCCTGATGATTTATTAGAAAAATGGGCCTGGGAAAAAAGAGCTAAGAGAAATCTTTAAAAATGTTCACCATTCTTAGCAATTATGGAAATGTAATAAAAACATTAGTGATTTCATCTTACCACAGCATGGTAAAGATGAAGAAAACAACTGACAACAGATGCTGGAAGGAGTGTCAGGGGAAGGGAACCCTTACTTACTGTTGGTGGCATTGCAAACTGATGTAGCTACTATGGAAATCAATGTGGGGAATTCTCAAGAGGACAAAAATAATCCACCATATTACCCAGTTATGCTACTCCTGAGTCTATGTCCAGAGGACTTCACATCTGACTCTACAGATATTTGCTCCACCATGTCCACTGACATAGCAAGGAAATGGAAACAACCTAAATACCCTGAAAATTATGAATGGATAATGAAAATGTGGTTCATATTTATTAGGGAATGCTATTCAGCTATAAAGGAAAACGAAATAATGAACTTTGCAGGTAAATGATGGAACCAGGAAAGTTCATATTGTATTAGGTAACCTAGACACAGATACATCTTATGTTCTCTCATCTGAGACTCCTAGCTCCAAATTCTCAGATGTGAGTACATATCCTGGAGTAAATACAGAAACCAGGAAAGTAACAAGGAACCATTGCTAGGGTGTGGGGATGGGAGAGCAATAGAGAGGTGAATGGTAGTATACAAGTGACGTGATGGGGGAAAATGTGAAAATGTGAGAGAGTCTAATTAGGGATGGGGGAGGGAGATAAAAACAGAAGAAGAGAGATGGGGGTATGATGGTAAAATAACAGTAAGAATGTCTGAAACAGTCATAAAGAATCATACTATTAACTTTTTACCAAAAAAATCTATAACATGTAAATCTGAGTATACAGACAGGCACATATATAGTTTAAATAAATTTTCTCACCTAGGCTCACATTATTTCCCCCAAGAGCCAAAGACCACCTAACAAAAACCCCAAATGCCAGGCATGAGAAGCCCTCTTTTGAGTTGTTGGTCAGGCTTGTCTAAGACACTCCTCAAACATGCAGCTTACTGCTATTGCTTTGGCAGCCCACCAGAGGTAGAAGGTGAGTCCCTACTGTTCAAGGCATCATTCAGAAACAGAGCCCAGAGGTCCCTGAGCTGGACCTGACCTGTATCTCCTCCTTGAGGACTAGCTTTCATGGTACTCAAAAGCTCTCTGCAAGTCTCCAAAGTATGGAAGTAACCAATAGTTCTACACAGTTATGATGCTGAAGAATCACAAAAACAAGCAGTATGGCACAGGAAACCTAAGGACGCAGTAGTGGCATGTGTATCCTGGTGGTCACATGAGAGCCAAAGTTACACTTTAAGTTTTAATTACTATGCCCTCGAGATCCATGAAACACAAATGCCTCTGATCTGCAAGCCCCTTGTCCAAGGACTGATAGTTTCTGAAATGCTAGAGGCTATTGTTCATGGGAGATAACAAGCCACACGTTTTCACTCCCCTAAACAAGTTTGTTTGACCCAACTGCACTGGATGTGCTTGATCACATGTAGGCAGGAAGTATGCAGTCAGGACGTATGTCAGGATGTATGCTTGTCCCTGATTGGACCTGATGGGAAATGTAATTAATTATGGGTTTCCCTTCTTAAGACCTTGCAAAACTTGATTCTGGGCCATTTTCCAGGAACCTGGGTATGCACCTGGCCAGAGTCCATCTACCTGGCTGGTATTTAATTAAAGCTTGCTTCAAATTTGGCTTCAGATTGTGGTAGTGGTCTTATTCTCTATTGGTGTGATTAACAGTAATCAACCGCTCTCTAATTTCATTTAAGATCTGCCCAACAAGAAGGAAATTATGCCCGATAGAAACCTATACAACCACCCAAGTCTAGTAATGTCATTGATCTTAAAGGAGAACCAAAAATTACTACTTTACTAAACTACTCTCTAAGTATGTATTCTTACACCCACAGATAAGCATAGTCTTCACCGCTCTCCAAGGGAGCTTCTCCTTACAATAGACAGAGACCACTTAAGAAAACCTCAAACAGTCCAAGTTCAGAGTTGTGAAGCCTATTTTCAATGAATACATGTACAATACAGTTCCTGTACTCCAAGGCTCAGGGATCACTGTTGAAGAAGGGGAAGGAAAGAATGTGAGAACTAGAGAGGAACAGGGAGTTCGCTGTGAGGCTGTGTTTTCTAGGAGGGTCAGAAGCTATATCTAAAAAGTCTCACCAATGTGACCTCCTAAGCATGAGTTGAACAAGGACGGCAGCAGTGGACATGTTCACATGGATGGAGTAAAGCCCACCAGGCCTTAATGCTAAACAACGAATTACAGGTAACTAAGGAGTGTGGAGAGTAAGTAGAACAAATAGTCTTCCCCAGGAAAGAGCATACCAATGGGTTATTCAATATCAGACAGCAAGAAGCTGAGAGGACAGGAAGCAAAGGAGAGGGCGAGAGGGAGGGAGAGACGGAGGGAGAGGGAGAGAACAGTGCTTCAAACAAGTGATGTATAATCATGCAGCACTCAGGTAAATCGCCCACATACCATGTATTTATGGTACCGGAATGAACCATGCACATACAAACTGAACAGACCTTGTCCTAGTCCTTAGAACATAAAGCAGGCATGGACATCGACAAATAATAAGAGCATATGTATAGTCACAACGATTTTAGAAAAATCCAAAAAGCTATGAAACTTTCAATTCAAAGACACAACATTCACTCCAAAGAGGATAAGATGTAATTTATTGTGCAGTCAAATATTAGTGACTATGGCCTAGGAACACAGATTCAGGTCACCTCAAATTCATGTCCCAGTGAGGAAACAGTTTCATGAAATTTGTATGGCAACAGACAAAGGAGCATCATCAATCAAGGCATGTGGAAATATCACACAGGTAGGCTACAGCAAAGCAAGGAAAACTGTGCTGTGGCCTCAGATGCTGCCAGGAAACATTGGGCGGTTGAAGCTAGTGGTCTGTTAATACATTCCAGAAGGTTTCACCGGTTAGTCATAGGATATTAGGTCAAGCACAGAGGTGGGAAAGGAATGGTTATTAAGAGAATTAAAGATGGCCCAGTGTAAATTATAATCAGGCCCTGGATTTACACCATTCCAACCTCTCCACAGTCATTGGCCTCATCAGCTAGTTGGCCTTGCAGGAGACTCAGCGGCAGGTGTAATTCTCCCCTAGAAACTTCCATTTTTAATAATACTATGCAAAGGTGTTAAATGACCAGTGCCTTAGAATTTTAAATTAAAAAATCTCTAGTGGGTATTTTCTTAATAAAGAAGGGATGAAGAAACAAAGTGGTGAAAGGTACTTAGCATCACATTTGAGTTGATTAAGATTCAGAATCGCAGATCTGCCCACAGATCCACTTCGGCCACTTGTCCCCCAGCTGTTGGCAACGTTTTGATAGTCTGTGGAGCCACTGAGAGGTGGGGGTTGGCTGCTGGATGAAGCTTGATGTTGGAACATGGTCCATGAATGAAGCTGTATGAGGAGATTTCTGAATACTTGTAGGAAAATTTCAAGGAAGCAAGACAAGAGTCTTGTAACCTCTGTTCCTTCACAACATGGGTTTGTTCTTGGAATGTGATTTCATGTCCCTCCTACGTGTAGTAAATAGGAATGGGTTTTGCTTTGGATTACCCATCATCTACTATTATTATTTAGATGATGTATGCAAGCACAGGTTGTCCTTGTGACTGTATTTGGCTGAAACTAATGCAACCTTGCCCTCATGATTGTATAAGCCTAAACTCATGTGACCTTGCCCTTATGATTGTATACAACATGAGCTCAAGTGAACTTGCCTCACATGACCTTGCTTGACCCTCAGAATATAAATTGTTCAATGCCCTGAATAAAGTTGGCTATTACAAGAGACTTTAGTCCACTTAATTTTTATGCTCCACTCTCCCAGGTTAAGGCCACCAAATAGAGGGGGAAACACTCACTAGGGGCTGGGATTTGAATGTTATGCCTACCCCTTGCTCCAGGCTATGTTCTATGCTCCCCAGGCCACTACCATGTGACAGTTCCTGCTTCATGTACCCACCACCTCAGACTGGACTCTCTACTATGTATTTCCAGATATAATGGAGTGAAACTATGAAATCATAAGCAAAAATAGATATTTCCTTCTTTAAATTGTGTGTCAGGCATTTTGGGCACAGTGACACTGAAATAATACACTAGGTATCATAGTGGAGTTATAAGGAATATTAGATAAAAACCCAGATTAGCACAAAAACTAGGCTGCACAGTAGACAGGGAAAGAACTCTTTAGCGGAACCATGAAGTGTGTGGTCCAACCTCACCTACAGAAAGTCAGGTACCTGTGGGGCGTTTACCCACCACCCCCACAGCTTCCCAGAGTTTTCTTGAGTGCGAGCAGCAGGAAATATTAGATAGAAGGATTTATAGCGAAAAATCTTGCGGAGATAAACAGATAGAAAATAAAGGATAGCCTCGAGAGGGCCTGGAACCTATTCCAA